CCAGGCACTGTTGATGATCTTGGATGTGGATTTTCAAACATTCATGCCAGGTCTTAGTTTGACTACCCTTTACTTCTTTTCACCCACTGCCTGTCCCGGTGATTATCGCGTGACGTGGCAAACTATTTGGTGACACACGTAACACATCCCCCAACCAATGTGATCTATGGAAGTTAACCAATTACTCCAGTGGACGAACACGATCACCAAAAACTCTGCACCTAACCTCAGCACTGCTCGCCCGGTTGCCCCACCAAATTCGTGAAATGTGGCGTACACGGTGTTCGAACGACGCCAGTCTACCTTTATTTGGTTTTTGCAATGGACACGTTTCTGCTCCGTAAATCAGCACGATCGAACTGTTGTGGTACATACTCGACCGTTCACAAACACCAGGAGGTCGAGACGGCACGAGAGGTGTCTCAATTTAGCGAATATCAATCGACGCCTTCGGTTTACTTGCTGTAACTTCATCCGTGATGTGTCCACCAGGAGAGATATGGTTATTCAACTAGTAAAATTTGTCTACTTCCTCTTTTTAGTTGCCCGATTGGAGTGAGCTTTGGAGCTGGATCCACCCATTCTTGGAGCAGCATTTTACATTCTGAACGTGCAAAAACGCATGCCGAACATAGCTACTGTAGCACTCAAACTATCCAGAAAAGCTTGCAAATTACGTGGATCTTCACTAAACGGCATAATGTCATCTGCGTACTCCAGATCAGACAGTTTGTCGCCTGAGAGCAAATGGATGCCGCTATCATCGCACGAGGCCGGAGCTATTTCAAGAATCAGATCCATCACAAAGGAGGGAGAGAGGATAACCCTGATGGATATCGTTTTTGGCTGTGGACTCAGTCGAAAAAGTACCGTGACCTCGGACTCGGATTTGGCTATTTGTATACAGGGATCGTAATATTAAAATAAATTTATTCGGCATATATTCCAGGGAGGGATAGTGCCGGAGTATGGAGTAATCGACTGAGTTAAACGTTACTGAATTTCCCGGAACGTTGCGGCATACATACCGCCAGATCTTGTGGCGTTCAGAAGGCTTTCTCAGGTTCACAAACACCTAACCAATTAAATGTACTCGGGCCTAACAATGTACGTTGGGTTCTCAATTTGACCATAATAATCCAAACAATATTATGATCCTAAGATGAGCAACTGAATTCAACAAATGATATCCGTTTTAGCGTTTACCGATAATAGCCACACATTCATGTTGTTTAAAGTAGACATATTTGTTCGAATTCATCGTAACCAAAGGAGCCGAGTCAAATTTTCTACAGCCGAGTGAACTGGTTGCAATCACGATACATTACAAAAGAAGTTTGTATAGAAGCACATGATGCTGTACTTGTATTTGTGTTTGGTGTGACTTGTGTAAACATATATTTTCATATTACCCAATGGCTTACGTTAATGGTGTGTAATGTAATCAGGCAGGGAATTTGTCAGCTTCAGTTTGTGAGTGGTGAGCTGCATTTAAAATCTGGGATAGGCTTCTGGCGAACACAAACACGATCGGTCGTTGAGTGGTTACAAAGAGCACAGACAAAATTGAAATATGAGCTACCCAGAGAGAAGCGACCTACCGCGAATGATAAAATGAACAGTGGACGCAGTCAGAGTTGCCAGTTGTTGAGCTGTTGAAAATTGCTATGGCGTGTACTGTGCATCGAATTTTGAACTGCGACCCCATCGTTCACATCTCGTGGTAGACAACGTTGCTATCGCTTGATTATGTACCACGCTTTTCTTGTGAGGATCTTAAATGGCCTACAACTACAGATCCCATAGATTGGGTTACCGGTTTTCACAATTGAATGATATATTTTCATGACAATAGGGTTCATCAATAGAACTACGCATCAAATCGAGTGTAATAAAAACGTAACTGTTAAAACCATATCGACAAAGGCTTTTAGTCACCTTGATGTATAGCCGTTTAAATGTGAAACGGCATGCTCTTTCTAACTTCATTCCAATACACGCATCACAATGAATAACAGAAGTAAAGGCAGTGCATTTTTTTAAATTTGGAGTTGCTATCCTGGCGAATGATGAAAACGTTTGTGATTCAAATCAGCACAAATCGTGTGGATTTCACTACACTCTTTGTACTTTTGCCATCTCAAGAAGAACTGCAGACCATATTCACGGTGGTTCATTCCAATTAACTCTTTGGAACATGTTCTTAAAGTCTATACAACCGTGCTTCGTTCACGGTCCCGCATTGGATCTATGCCTCACTGCCTTGCCGGTCAGACTTTTGAGTCAAAGGCTCCGGTTAGGGTTCCCAAAGAAAAAAACCCTTCTTCGCTATGGGCTACCGCGAAATATGCCGTGCCCCAAAGTCTTAGGTACCCATTTGGAAAACCATCCTTCTCATCTGTTTACTTCCTCTTTTTCACTTCCAACCTTAGGAGATGCATCCTTTTTGCGCCACCCATGGGATATCACTCGGTGTTCAACCAATAAGATTATCCACCCAGAGACTTTCATATTTTTGAAACCAAAATCCCCTTTTCACTTAGCTGCACTCAATGTGCGCACACTCTACCAGATCGGTCAACAAGCTACTGCGAGGATTGAACTATGTCGTGTATATTCAGATGAGAAATGGTCTGATCAGATGCCCGATAACGCTTGTGTTTATCTGTGAGGTCCCGAGTTCGATCCTCAGTTGGGTCAATGGATTCGAACTGCTGATGAGACCCGACCAGGTCAAAAAAGCTGTCCAGTGCTTTCCAGCTTTTCAGCTCGCGTCTCTTTACAGATCTACTGATAATCACGTTTATTGTTGTGTATTAAGATGATTAAGAACAGGTGAAAACGAGCTTGTTCGCCAACCTATGCGGTTCTTAATAACGGAACTCTGGACGAGATGGGTGCCATTTTATCTTACTTACGGAACCGGGCCATCCACAGTGTTTGTGTATCGGAATGAATCGACCTCCCTATTAGAAGATTACCAATGCCATTGAAAGACCATACAGAGTAACTTCGTTGGAGGGTTTGGACTGTTCCCATTGTTCTTTTACGTTGTGGGCCCGGTGACGACGAACAAAATCGGCGGTTATTCAGGCAAACTGGGGGATGTACGTGTGTGTGAGCCAAAGCATGTCCGACTTCACCTGAATCTTGTGAGTAACACAAATGATGTTTTTTTATCACACGCATTTCAGTAACGAACAGCAGACGGAGTGGAGCCCATAGTCGCGAAGGCCGGCAATTTAGTTATGCAAACCGGCAACCGGAGTCGGGAGTGTTGGATTGGTGAACCACAGAGGGCCCGGCTGGGTGAGACGTATTGAACCGGAAGATAGCAAAGCAATATCGAAGTTATATGGTATTGCCGGGATTCTAACCTCGGACTATCGGGTCCAACACACGCCTGTGACAGTGACTAAACCAGTGCATTATTATCACCCATGTGATGTGTACGACTGGGGTAAGGATAACCTTATTAAGGTGCTTACCTGCGGGAACAATTAAAAAATCTTCTTATTCCCTGTCTTGTCAAGAGTTCACAAAGGGGCCAGTGGCAAATCAACATGGGCGGCGTTGACGGGACATAAACTCACGAACTCCAAACTAGAGTAACGTTGTTTTTTGCCGCTTGAACACTAAGTGTAGCAGAAATATGATGGATTAACTGAGCAACACCAATTCAGAAGCACAGCCTTTGTAAATTCACATGGAATAAAAAGGAGACTTAGACTTGCAGTTTCTCGTACGTCACGTTGTGGGGACTGCAACTCGCCGTTCGTCAGACTTCACGATTGAGCACAAACTTCAGGATACACGAATTAAGTTGTGAGTGCGAGTACTGCTTCCCAAGAATTGGGTAATCAACCCACTGATTACGAATTGCGCATCTACGAGGAGTTTCTTTCAACTGCCCGTTAAGTGTTTAGTGATGCATGGATATGTTTTATCGATTAAAGACAATAGGCGATGGTGTTCGAAAAGATAGCGAACTCTCGCATGTACAAAAACAGCTTTAGGTCATACTTGAACATACACTCACCGGTTTTGGTCTGTAGTCTCCTAGGGTGAATAAACATGCCGGAATGAGATGGGAATCACCCCAATGACATTGTGTACAATAGAACTGTCCCGTGTAATAGCATAGACGTGCCTGATCCAGTTGTTCGAACGTGTTTCCTATGGGACAAACGGATCCGGAATCTGTCTGCGACTGCGGCTTTACAACCTCTCCGTTTAAAAGGAGTGGTGCACGCAAGTGATTGGCGGATATTGAAGTGGGATTAGAGGAGCTATTGTCTGTACGTGAAACGCGATGCACCGCTTCCAATACAACGGCATCAGCCCACGTCTGAATTGGTCCCAAGTCAGTCTGAGCGTCTGCATAGGCCCATTGCAAATGCGGACCAGTATCGTCAGTGGGTACGGTGAATTTCGGATGATGAGATAGAACCTGTGCAGTGTGATCCCATAGAGAATCTACCTGAGTTCGTAGCTGAGGTGTGACCCATTTGAGCATTGCATCTGGATTGGTCTCAGCACTGGCAGCTTGGCGCATGAGCAAATTCGCGGTGCTTTCCATCACACAATCTGTTGTTTGGACGAAAGGACTGACCATGGAGGGCTCAGCCGCCACAGTACTGTTTGGAGCCGGTCGGAGAGGTTTTCGGCACTCAAAACAAGACCAACACTGATCTGTAAGATTTGCACCCAAGTAGCACAAACAATGAACTTCTAGATGACGAAATTGTGCGGGTGCCATGGGATTAGCAGTGTCCGTGCCTGTGTGGGACTTTGTCTGGATTGATGGGAGTGGTTTGAGACTGGAGTAGAAATCTGAAGACATCAAGCTGCAAGGACAACGTCGTGTGAGTCCCCGAAGACAGTGCTGTGGATGACAGACAACCGGGCACTGAGAACAAGTCAGGATGCGCCGGGATGGATCGCGAATCACACGACGACAGTATTCGCACGACTGGCCTAGGTAACGGAATGCCAAAGTGAGCTTGAACTCGTGGCCACCAGTCGATCGAGTTGGTGAAGCAGACCTTTTAGACCGCCTCGATCGTTCCGGAGAACACCCATGAACAGTCAATGAGTGTTGTGAACCAGTTCTAACACGTCGGATCAGTGGAGTGAAAGAACCCGTTGATGGAATAGGTATGGAAGTTGGAGGTCCGTGTGAAAAACCGTCGCTCGATTCTTGCTGAGAATTATTCGAATCCTGTAGTGGGAAAAAGCCAAACAGAACAGATAATTGAAAAATAATTTTAGTACAACTTAAGTGGCCAAACCATTGAAAGATGCCTGTGTCAAATATTTTTTCTTTTCAGTTTGTTTTATGTTGAGCAATTGTGCACTTCATGAGCAAAATGCTGCTTAACGAGGTTCCCTGTCTCGCTTTAAACGGAAACGATGGGATAAACAAATTGGACGTAAAGCATGAACGATACAGCCCATTCACCCCACTTCACTATCAACTTGGCAAAAATGGCGACACGACAAAAACAGAATGATGACTACCACAATCATGGTCCTACCGACGATATACATATATAATTATTAGCAATAGTCAAATTTTATTTCTTCATCCTCAAGCCGAATTTCGACAACACTCATAGATGCTTCTGTTCCCCCCCTCCCCTCCCCCGGAACCGTGTGTGTGTGTGCATTATTGGGTTACTTCGTGCGAGGCCAGGGGCAAACTAAGCTTCCAAAGCTTCAGTATGGTCGGGGGTGGGTGTCTAGAGTTGCGGCTTGTCACACTTCCTTTGCACCTCGCGAAATGATCCCATACGACCAAGCGTCTCGAATAGCCTCTGCCGAGGAAGCCCTACACACTGCCTTCTCGTGGGGGAGGAGTTTCCCCAATAAAGTGACAGGACGAAAAGCAGATTTCTGCGGCTATAATCGGGTTGGTGAACCACTGGTAGTTCATCTAAGAGAGTTGGCCAAAAACCCTGATTCCAAACCAACGAAGAGGAAGCGTACGAACCACACTCACCTACACTCTTCTCGGTGTGGCAGTGGTCACCGGCTCGATTGGGCATCGAGGTGTATTAGGCACCTTGTATGTTTGAACCCATCCAAAGGGTGCATGCGTGATACGATGAACTGGACACCGGTCCCCAATGGATTGCGGTTTTCACACCTCCTCGCTGTCTTGCGGGTCAGGCTTTGACTAACCGAAGGCTCCGGTTGTGGATTCCCCAGGAAAATTCGCCTGCGAAACCTGACAGTACTCCGTCCACAAACAAATCATGGAGTTTTCTCTTTTGTATAACGATTGTTGTACTATGATTTGTTTGGCACAGTCTGGATTCAGACGTGTGGGAAATATACACAAATGGACAAATTAAAGAACGAACAAACAGCTCCTCATAGAAGAGGGGAAACCAATGTTTGGATAGCGATCGCATCAGCGGTGCATAGCACGACAAACCGAAATCGCTTTGGCAAAGATGAGGGCGTATGATGAATAATGCGGAAAGTGAAATCAGCATTAACTAAGTACCGTATCTCCGGTTTGCGTTGGCAGATAGCGCTTTTCGCGGTCCTATTTTCACTATCACAATCAGTGAGGGTGGTGTTCACGTATCCTCGTAGTTCAGAGTGATGCAGCGTCCTCTAAAAAAGCGAGTGAACGCGAAAAGGCACATTTATGCGACAATATAAACGACCCCTTTGTACAGTCAATCTCCTGCTATGGCGCCCCCCCCCTGAGAAGTTGCATTTCCCAACATCTTCCCACTTTTTCGAAAAACCAAACCAATCATATGCCTAATAACGTAGTTTCTGACTATGCGATGTCGCACCCCCCAATATGT